CGGTGTGTTTTGTGTTTTTGGAAAGTGAGATTTTTGACCAACAATGTTTTACATGAGAAAAGAAATTAAACAGTCAACTTGAAATTTGCTGAGAATAATACTCATTGTGGGGGATGTCAGCTACGCGTCATATTCACCATCAAAGCTAGCAATTACATGATATTACTTAAAAGTTATTTCAAAAATTTCACAACTAACCTCTAATAAAACGCAGAATGTCGCAATACAATTTATCAAAATACTCGGAAGCACTTGCCCAATCAGTGCTCTTTACAATTTAATAAAATAAAAATAAATTGAAAATTTCCAATTTGTGTTACAAAATAAAACGACCAGATCATAAATTTTCATAAGAAGTAGCGACTCCAACATATGATCTTACATTCTATGATGATAAGTAACAAGTGTGAACTACTTATAACACGAAAATATATTTTGTTTCGATTTCAATTTTCTTGATTAATAAAGAAATAAATGATGAATAAGCAGAATTTAGTAAATGGCAAACTTAGAAGTTGGCTTAACTATTTATTACAATTTGTTATTACTTATTGGTATTTGAGAATTGGATGGTAAAATATAGAAACTTCTTTTATTGATTCTTCATCTAATTACAGAAAAGATCATACTAATAATAGTAATTTGTGTGCATGTTTAATTAGTGATTACAATAATCGATAAATATTTCTATCTATCATACTAAACATGTCATTAAAGTTCAATGCAAGATAATTCAAAATATTGTAGTTAATAAGAGAGGTAAGACAAAGTAGGCAAATCATAGGTTTAATAACCAAATTGTAGAAGTTAAAAATAGTAAGAGAATCCAGGAAATAATTAAAATAAGAGTAGAAATCCAAGAAGATAATAATATATTAGAGGTGGACTTAAAAATATAAAATCGACATATACTTATCCCAGTAATCTACGTCAAAACCTTTCTTTATACTTCATGCAAGGAATATAGAATAAAAGATATTGGAACTTAACCGAGGTAAGTAGATGATCATCTACTTGTAACTCCTTTCTATTCGCTAACACATATATTGTGAAGAAATAATAAAAGATATTGGAACTTAACCTTAAGTAAATTAAAAAAAACTTCAAAAAAATATTAATAATACAAATAAAAATTTGTCTATGTAACAGATGGCCTTCACAAGCGATAGAAATGTTGGATCTGTAAGGATTGTAGTGAATGAGATTAATGATGCGATATGAAGTAATAAGATTGCAACGAGAACAAGATTTAAAAATAAAGAAATTAACAAAGAGAGTTAATCGTAGATGCGTGACGTTTTATTAATTTACAATATGGAGAAAAATACAAGAACTCAGTAATTCTTACTTGAACAAAACTGAAAAAGAAAACCACTACTTATAGGTACATGGCATAGTATAAAGATGGAAAAAATGTGGAATAAAAAAATAATATATTTCCATAAAAATCACGAGAACTATAAAGAAACAAATTTTCCCATATAAAAATAAGGAAACAATTTATTTCCGAAAAAATTCACCCTAATTTGGATCAAAAACCCAACAGTCTCCACATTAACCCAAATTTTGGTACAACGAACAGGACTCCAAGATTTCAAATCCGTTTGCATCGAAATAGCCAATCTCCTTAACATAGTAACCAAAACTCTCCAAACCAAACCGTCGTCCTTTGCAAAGCGTCCACAAGCGACACCTGAACCCAAATCCTAGGTTCCCAAAATTCCACCGATGAATTACTGTTGAACAAATAGGGTCGAAGTTGGAATCGCTAGTAATCGCGGATCAGCATGCTGCAGTGAATATGTACTCGGGCCCTGTACATCACACCGTGTAGCAGAAACCATACCACATGGTAGATTAGAAGGCTCATTGCTAGAACTGTCGCCTTCAACGTCTCCAAAAGCATCTCAAACATTATTGACACCATGGTATCTACGCTCCATGAGTCCAACTCTAGTAAATGAACAAGTGTATCCGCTGAAATTGGTGGCAAAGAGGAATCACCAATGCTCTCTTGAGCAATGTTCTTAATCGACCTAGAGCCCGTCACAAGAAGTACTGTACCAAACTAAATATCTACCACGGTACTGAATTTATCTCGATATCTCTTAACTGGTTCTGCGTTTCCTTACAAGACGTACAACCGAGACTTCTTCTGTCCCTCCAATACAACCTGGACACCATTCAGACCTTCAAAACTCCACCTCCACCTCCACCTCCACCAGAGAATTTATACCCTTTTACATCTAAAGTACTAAGTGAGATGAGATTCCTTTTTAGGTCTCGAACATGTCGAACTTGATCAATTGTTCTGACTGTCCCATCTCGTATCCTAATTCTGACCCGTTCCCAACAATACGACAAATTTTCCATTACAATTCCACCTTGCTGAACAACCTCATATATCTAAAAGAAATTTCGATTGGAACACATATGATGCGAACATGTCGAATCGAGAATCCACTCCTTGTCAGGCCTAGATTTCATGTCAGATACCACAGTCAACATCACATCACATCACCGCTGTCTGAAAAATCTTCAACTACATTTGTTTAGTCTGAAGTCAAAGGTTATGCTCCACGATTTGCAGCTAAATCACCTTTAGCCTGCAACTTATCACTATCCTTTCGAATATGTCACTTACGTCTGTAGTAAAAGCAAAACAAATTGCTGTTATTCTTCAATCTGGCCCTCCGTCGACCATCATGAGATACAAGAGCTTCATCATCCCTCGATGTAATTCCAATCAAATGCTTCAAGTTCTCCTTTGAGTGCAAACCATCATAGATGTCATCTATAGTCAAAATATCCCGACTATACATAATGGTATCTCGAAACGACGCATAAGAGCCAGACAACGAACATAACAAAATCAAGGTAAAATCATATTCATCGTACTTAACCTCCAACGTCTTCAAATCTTCGACAATTTCCTTGAACATGAAAATATGGTCTTCCAACGACCTTCCTTCCGTCATGCTATAGGAATATAGCTTCTGCTTTAGAGCCAGTTTAATGGTAAGACTCTTGGTCATACATAATTGCTCCAGTTTTACCCACAAAACAGCTGTTGTTTTCTCCTTCAAGGCATCCTGTAGAATATTGTTGGATAGATGAAGATGAATCAACGACAAAGCCTTCCGATCCCTTCATTGTTTCTCCTCCGTCATCCAATTAGCTTGTATCTTCTCAAAACACAGCAACACATCGTCCAAATCCAACTGCGTCAAAATAACTCTTATCTTTACTTGCCACAAAGAAATCCTTGTATTGCGATCCAATTGCGGAATATCATACTTTAAAGCAGCCATCTCTGAAAAATCTCAACCAATCCACAGCAAGAACCAATCTTTGATACCACTTATTGGACCCGAAAGGATTATAGCTAATGAAATTAATGACGCAATATGAAGTAATAAGATCGCGAAGAGAAACAAGATTTAAAAGTAAAGAAATTAACAAAGAGAGTTCATCGCAGAAGCATGATACTTTATTAATCGACAATATGGAGAAAAATACAAGAATTCAGCAATTCTTATTTGAACAAAACTGAAAGAGAATATCACTATTTATAGGTACATAATATAGTATAAAGATTGAAATAATGTGGAATAAGAAAATAATATATTTCCATAAAAATCACGTGAAATATAAGGAAACAAATTTTCCAAAATAAAGAAATAATTTATTTTCAGAAAAAATCCACCCTTTTTTAGGTCACAAACCCAACAAAAACACACCACTAATAGCCAATGACATTACTATAATGTTATCAATAACCGCTAAAAATGGTGGATCAATGATCACCGATGATAACTTTAAAAATTTTTGTTCGAATCACCAACCTATCGTTTATATTGATAATATTATGAAGGAAAAAAAATATTTGAACGTGACATTTGATATCTTATAGCTGAATATGAGCTGAGAGATGATAGGTCTCATTTAAGCCCTTCATATTTTGATTTAAGTTATTTTCTTTCTAAAGGTGAAATAGAATAACCCGGCGGAAGCGTAATGATTAATACATATGTAACATATTGTATGTTCCGCAAGGATATTGACCCCAATGGATGCTCATTGAATGAATCTTAACTTATACAACTCCATATATTCAATAAGATTATTCCGTTATGTTTTCGATGAAATAGAATTAAATTAAAAAATTATATAGAAAAAATAACTTTTTCAATGCTATTGAAAGCTTCCGCCAGTGATCGAAGCATCATCATGATTGACGACATCACTGGCAATCAAGATGTTAGTCGATCACCATCGACAATATAGTTGTCATTTATTATGTACAAATAGTGATAAATATTGATTCTAACGCCTATATTATGAAAATAAATATTTGAACTTAACTGTTGCTCTTTTAGGACATTTTAGTGTTTGGAAGTTTCATTCAAGCATAAATTCAGCTGAACCTCCCCACCACCGCCTTGTCCAATATTTTCTCTCGCCTCTCTTTCCGTTGTAGGAAGAGCATTCTACGTGAACTTGATTCTTTCTTGCCTACAAATAATGTATTTTACATCGTTCCAGGAGTATACAAAAGTTATGCAACTCATAATTCTATACGTGTTTTATCTGCCTAATAATGCAGAAAAGGTTCTCGAGCCACAGGAACTGTGGACCAACAAATAATAACAGGATAAAAACTTCCCAATGCTGATATGGCAAGAGAACCATAAGGAAGGTTCTCTTACCATGTTAGCGGTGAAAAGTTTTTATCTTGCCCATTGAAGGCAGGAGATCAAATCTGTAACAAATTAAACTTTTCTCTATAAGGGTAGGCCACACGCATTCTTCTTGGTCGTGCCATTTGATTCATTACTTCATTTACTTGAAGATCTAAAGCAATCACATTTTTTATTACAAAAGACAAGTCCTGTTAATCTTAGCCTTCTTTTTCCTATTTCGAATAGTAGCTTTAGAGAACCACTAAATGTAATAGATGCACATGCCAGTTTATGAAGAGGAAGAAGAGAAGAAGGCAGTGATAAAAAAAGATGGAAATAACATTGAACTAACTTAAAAGAATCCCGGATGCAATATGTTCATTTCAATGTAATCAGAAAGGTCGACTAGAGAAGCCCTGGAGGGATTTATCTGTTCATGAATTAATACAACAAATTACAGTTGCATCTTACCTGTGATTGAAGCCTTAATCGAACGCTATTGCCTTGCAGGAAGTCGCCTAGGAAGAAAAGAAAGAAGCAAGAACCGGAGGCCTAGCCGTATTGCAAATGGTAAGAAACCTACATAGTGATAGTGCACTCTTTGGAAGGAGGCAACAATATTTTTAACTTCTTTGTCATGTGCTCTAGCTCCCGCAATTGGTCCAACTCTCCCATCTGAACTAGAAACCTCTCTAACATCTGAAACGCTAGCTCACTCATATGACGGCCTCTCTCTAGCATTTGCTTAGAGCACTCAAATGCTTCTTGAACTCTCCCACGGGAACATAAACCCGTGACCAGGAGGTCCAGGGCATGACTGTGTGGACAGTGCCCTTTCTTCATCAAGTACCTCCACAAATCCAAACCCAAATCGACTCTTCGGCTCTCACAGAAGAACTTCATTAGCATCACAACCGTCCGTGTCATGGGCAAAAAATTCTTCTCAATCATCCTTTGATAGAGTTCAGAGACACCATCAATCCCCTTTGATCTAATTAATCCCAAAAACATAGTATGGTAAGTGACATTATCATGCTCAATATTATTCTTTTCCATCTTTTCAAATAAGGCTGCTGCTGAACTCATATCCCTGGATCTGACAATAGAACTCAAAAGGGCATTATAAGCCCCAGTATCTGGCTTCAAACCTCTCGTTGAAATTTCATTGAACAATTGTTTAGCTTTGGAAATATTTCGAGCCATCCCTGCTCCATGAATCAGAGTGGTAATTGTTTCTACTGTAGGGAAGCAGTTTACACGTTCCATTTCTTCAAAAAGTCTCATAGCATCACCAAAACATCTTTTCTTGCAGTAAGCATCAATTCTAATATTATAAGTGACATTGTTAGGCTTAAAACCTCTTCGAACCATCTCATGATAAAACAGCTCTATTGCAGTAACATCACCTGATTCCTTGAACCCCAAAAGCAAAATATTCATAGTCTTGGTGTTGGGAGAAAATCGAGAATGCAGCTTGTTGAAGACAGATCTCGCTTCTTTCATCTGCCGCTGTGTGCAAAATGCTCGAAGCAGTACATTGAACTCATCCGTGCCAAATTTGCTCCCTGAAAATATCTCTTTCTCCATCTTTCCAAATGCTTCCAGAGTGTCTTCATAGGATTGGAATTTAGCAATTCTCGATAACATGATGCTCATTGACTTTGGAGTGAGCAAGGAATGGTGAGTCTGCTTGATTCTTTCCATTAATTCCCAGGCTTTGTCAAAGTATCGCATTCGTGTCAGTATGTGGAGAGTCTTCTCAAAAGCATCTGAACTTGGAACGTACTGGTTACTGAGAAGGGAATATTGAAAGAACTCATACGCTTTGAGGCCGTTTGAGTGCGCAGCAAACAATCTTCCAAGAACATTTTGCACGAAATGGGTCGACAATGCAGTCGGTGGAATCAGAGAGCGAAGAGTAGGATGCAATGGCTTATCAGGAAATGGATGGTCGTTAATTATTCTTGTAATTCTTTCAATTTCAGTCTCTGAGGAAGAATGAAGCCAGAGAATGTTAAGCTTCTGATCCACACGCAAAAACCGATCGAATTTTATACTTCTGTTTCTAAGAAGCATGATGTCTTTGATTCAAATCATGAACTCCCAAACTCCCATATAGTAATATTCTGTTTCATTAAACACACATCAAGGATGTAGTTGAGTAATAGTCTTCATATAAAGGAAAATAAGAATATAGCTTATTATTAAATGCAACAAGTTCCAAAAACTAAAGTGCATGTCAACTTGGCTTGTATGCATGAAATTCCAGATTAACAAAGAAACATATTATTGACTTATAAGCAGGGATTAACAAAATTTGGCCTGTTAACTCTGTTGAGCATTTCCTCAAGCACACAACGCGCAACTTACAGAGCATTAACGAAAAACAAATTCTTTGAGTGAGATGAAACGAGCATAAACTTCAACTACCCAGGGCAAGGCAAAGTGACAGGAAAGGGAAAATGAATAAATAAAATTAAGTGCGGAAGCTGCAAGCATGAAAAACCATTGCTGAAATTTTGTTGCCTTTAACGCAAACTAATTAAAAACATTCAAGAACTGTCTTGTACATTACAACTTTCTTAAAAAGTAAGGGATTCCGATTATGTGAAATACCTGCACATAGATGTCACGAGATGTACTCTGAATACGTCGATTAATCAGATTTGGGATAGATTTCAATTAGTAATTTTGCTCAAATTCATGGATATTCATGGATGGAAATGGATGACAGGGTAATAAATAATGATGGTCATTAATCTTGACTTCATGACGGGAATAAATATATAACTTCAGTTAAATAAATAACGGTGATTATTTATTTACAATCATGTTATTGATTATCGTCAATTTAAGTCACGAAATTAAACAGAGTTAATTGATTGAAATCAAATTAAAATGAAATTAGGTAGGAGTTTATTATTTTTTTCAGTTTTAAGTCCTAAGTTATGTAAATATCTTACGTAAGTTATATCAACTTGTGCACTTTCAATATATTATATATCTCATGCTTTGTGATTACTATACAAGGAATTATAATAATTTAAATAAGTAATTGCAAAATCTTTTTGTCATCTAATTAATTGACGTTAAGAATTGATTCCAACACGAACATTTTGGATTCCGAAGTTTCTAATTCGAACTCAACTGAATAACAAATTTGATAATTGAATTGAACAAAATATACATGACAACATACGTGTAATTAAACTTCTTACTTTTTATATTATCGTATAGTTGTATCTAGTTCAACGTACCAAATATATCTTAAAGTTCTTTATCTTCGGACAAGCGTTCTCTATTTTAAGCTCGCTCTGGCATCTTTTACCAAATAATAAGACCAATGAGAATTATCACATAATCCAATGGCAAAAGTGGCTGGCTATATACAAGAATAAATGCATAAATACAAGACAGAGAAACTGTTTCGCACGGGTAGTCGCTAACAATTAAAAAGGGATCAGACGATTGTGTAAGGAACAAACCTCTTGAAATAAAGTCCCAAAAAGGGGTGTTTTATTGGCGATGATTTACAATTGGAACTAAACGGAATGCCTCCAAGGGCGCAAGCACACGAGTACTGAAAGAAATGTTTAAGTTTAAACTAAGAAATTGAAATTACATATTCTATGTTTGAGAGTGTTTGATTCGGGGTCTTTTTCTCCGTCTTCTCTTCCTTTTATATTCTCTTGATGATTTTTTCGTGACAAATCGCTTGAAATCTGCTTGATTGCTTTATAACTACTCACTTTCTTTATGGTGGCTAATTTGTCGTGGAACTGTCGTCTCTAACTGCTGCCACTACTCTTTGTCGTTCAACTGCCTTCAACTGAATTCCTTGAATCGTGGAATATGATAAGGTTACTCAATAACTGCTTCAATAACTGCATTTCTGAATAACCATAACATTTTATGTTTGTTAAGATCCTGGGCGATTCGAAGGTATGGGTGAGAACAGGGTCATCGCTCTGGGCGACTGTAAGGCACTCCATTCGCTCAGATCTTGGGCGTCTTGCAAGCTTGGGCAATGATGTCACTGTGTTCGTGGGCTTCCACTACATTCATTAATAACCCTGTCTGGACCTTTATCTTGAATTGCTCAATTGGGCTTCATTCTTTGGGCTATTTGATTTGGGCTACACTTTTAAAGTGTCAACAATTACCCCCAATATGGCAGAATTAATACTAATTATTAATCTTTGTCATATTCACTTTATATTTTCCAGCAATATTTGAAATTCCCAAAAATTTCAATCATTATTTCCTTCTACAATCTGAAAAAATGCAATGTTACAAACCCTTATAAACCAAAAGGACATGCCATTTCATTGCACCACTCGACCACGTCTATATTTCGCGCTTCTTTCTTGCTATTTTACTGTTCATCTTCTTGCTTCTCTGCTACGTTTCCCAGGGAAACCTTGTCAAAACTGTACTTTGTTTCCAATGGCGATTTTAAAAACTCAATCTGATGATTCCTTTAGTTTCGAAGATTTTCAGAAACTCCTTACAAGGCCATATGTAAATCCAAACTTCCTTACACAAGTTAGTGCTGACCTCAATGAATTCTACTTGGGTTCATCATTCAATAATGCCGAATCCGTCGAACAAGTGGCTGTGTGCCAGCTGTTCCCTTGCACTCAAGGCCCTCCGTTCCTGAACTATTTGCCGCTGAGGCCGATTCGCGAAAAAGGTATTTGCACTTGGCCTAAATCTGATGTTATTTTCCGTAGATGGCATGCTCGTCTTGTGGGTCGTGGTCCTACCAAGGCAATTTTTTATCGTGCTAGGATTTCTGATTTATTAGAAATTGCTCTTCAACCTCCAATTTTTTACCCAGTGTTTTTTCCTATTGCTTTAAGTTTTTGGTCTTTTGAATATAATACCTTTATTTTCCCTCTTGGTCCCATGTCTATTACTTTAAGGGATGTTGGGGCCTAATAAATCTTCCACCTTTGGGCGATACCATTTTCCCTGATATTTTGATTTCTGGTGTCACCCCGAAATTTGATAAGAAACTCACTGAGTCCTACTCAAGCTTGCAAAGTTCTTATAATCACTCAAGCGTTGAACCTTCTCATACTGAGCGTGTGGCCTTCCTTTAGATTTGGCTTTGTAAATATATTCTTTGCGTGCCAAGTATGAAGCCTTCCATGGGTTACTTACCCATAGCGCATGAATTAGCGCGTGGTAGGTCTTTGAATTTGTGTTCCTTCTTTTCGGCTGCCCTTTATAGAGGTATGGCTTCTCTTCAATTTCAATTGAAGAATGATGCATCTCCCACTGGCAATGGGCCTCTTTGGTTCACTCAACTGTGGTTGAGAGCATATTTTCCACCACTTGGTGCTCCATCCATTTTCAGTCGTTCTGCTAGCTGCTATGGGCTAGCCATTGATCTACTGACCCTTGTACATATGTCCAGTAGAGACATTTTTTCATTTTATTCCTTAAATTTGATTCCTTCTTTCTTTCCTTTTCCTGCTCATTTGACCCCAGATTATGTGCAACCTCCATCCACCCTAGACAGTGTGAATGCCTCTCTGCTTGTTTGGGTTCAATTTTTGATTGGGAGGGAATTGTTCCACGATATCTTAACTGGAACCAATGCCAAAGCTGGGGTTGAAATATATACTCCCCAATTTTTTGCTCGCCAACTTGGTTTTGGCCAAACTTGGCCTGTCCCTCCTTGTTACTCTAAAAATTTGACAGACCGCTTTCACATCATTAATAGGGCAAAGGCACAAGCTATAGATGCTCGCAACCTTCTTTTGACGAGCAAGTTTTCATTAGCCCCTTTCAATCCTAACCGTGCTGTCCACCCTCTTTTTGAACAACTTTGGCCATCAGTAAACCGTCGATTGTTTGCAATTGATGCTAATCGTGCCTTCCATTTACTGGACCAGCCAGTCACTCCCTCTACTTCCCCTGTTTTGGTCACCCCTGTGTCCATTAGGAATCCTTCCTCCCCTGCTCGTGCTAAACAATCTATTCGTCCATCTACTTCTCTACCTGCCAAGACTACTGCAGCTAAGAGTGCCTTAAACCGCAAACGGCCAGCTTCAGCATCTCCCATTTTGGAGGATGATGATGATGACACTCCTCTCATCATTAGGAGAAATGTAATTGAATTCTGTTTATTCACAAACATACATTTCTATGTGCTAATGGTTTACTTGAATTTCTCAGAAAAGTTCAGCCTCTCCTTTGAAGGCTTTGGTGTTGGCAGCTCCTGCTTCATCATCCTCTGCTGAAGCTACTTCGTCCAAATCAGCTGATGAAGGGACTATGCTTAAAGATAAACCTTCAGTCCCGGAACCTTCATCACAACCAATGGAAGAGTTACCTTCTTCCCAGGGCGCCGACCCCCCAAACATCGAACCAGAAGGTAATACATTTTTTTTATATTTTACCTTTGCTTGTGCTATTGGTTTCTGATTTGTTGCTTCTTGAATTCTGCAGAGGCTCCCATGGGTCTACCCATTGTGACAGAGTCTTCTCGTCCAGATAAGAGGAAGTCTCCATAGGTGGTGGAGCCAACTGGTGATATGCCACTTCCCAAGATTGCTGATAAGGTAACATTTCGCTTCACTTTCATTTTCGCTTCGTTTATTGTAGTGAAAGCCCTCAATGTTGGCATTTTTCTTTGCAGGGTGCTAATGACATTGTGCGTTCCATTCAGGACTTGTTCACTTCCTAGGGGTAAGTCAAGACGTCTCGCCCTACTTCAACTGGTCGTCCTTCCGCTTCTTTAGAGGAAGATATGAGGTTCCTCAAGTAGTCGATATTTGAGTATGTGTCTTTTATGGACATGGACATCGGTCAGGCTAGTGCTGCAAAACATAAGGATGAGCTTGAGCTATTGAGTGCGAAGTTGGCGCAAGCACTGACACTTTCGTCGCTCAATATTTCTTCTGATTTTAAAGCAACGTTGAAAGTTGTCCACTCTGACATCCTCTCTTTGCTTGCCAAAAATGTTGAACTGAAGGCCAAGAGTACTCACTATCTTCACGCTGCATCTGAAAGAGAGTCTTTGCTTCTAGAGATTAACATAGCCGAGGATGAATTGAAAGAAATCTCTTTCAAAGTTATGGTTGAAGACTCTTTGATGACAAGTTTGGCTGCAGAGATGAAGGAGCTTCAAGCAAAAATGGACGACTGTAGGGCGAGAATGGTTGCCAAAAAGCGCAATGCTTCCCAAGGAATTGAGTGAACCAAGTCTTTGGTCGAGCAATACAAAAAGCTGGAGGTTGATGACGATTTTGTAGCTGAATTAAATGTCGCTTCTTCTCAGTAGAGCAAGGATTGGGGAGACTTAGGAAAAGAATTCGATCGGCTTGGGGTGAATTGTAATTAAGACATCTAATGCCTTAAATTTTCCTTTTGTAACTTCGTACTAACTGTCATTACTAAATTTGAATGTAACAGCAGCCATTGTCATTAATGAACGACTATTTTGACTACTTGCGTGCTAATTGATGTTGTCCTTAATCGTCAACCCCCCAAGCATTTAACTACTTTATGTTAAGATTTATGTACATTCTCTCTTGGTACTTCTGTTTCTTTTCCCAAGACTTTAGGCCACTTGACTCCAATTACAGGCATGAATGTGGCCATTCATATTCTGTCTCTTCACCTTCACGCCCCTATAAATGCACATATATTTCGCATTTTTCATTTTCATTTCCACTTTTCTTCAAAAGCTAATTTGCTGCCATCGTTTGGCATTTCAACAATCGATCCAAAATTTTCATCTTCCATAAAAATGAATCATTTGATCCGCCCATTTTGCTATCTGTTTTGATGTCACCTTTGGTATGGGAGATTTAGAAAATATTCTTTGACCAGTGA